CTCTGAGCCCAGGATATCCCTTACTTGTAAATGTATATGAGTGTACTTATATGTGATGTTGAACATGTATCTGTACATGTGCATGCGCATGTAACTATATTTGTGTATGTGTATGTGTGTGTGCAATTACGTACATGTAAATATGTGGGCACTTGCTTACGTATACGCATCTATATGTATAAGCATATGTAAAGTTGTAAGCATGTGCGCATGCATATGTGTGTAAATGTGTGTATGGGTGTGTATACGCATACGTAGGTGCATGTGTGTAACTGCAGATGTGTATGTACTGTTGTCTATAAGTGTGGGTGTATGTAGACATATGTATCGGTGTATGCATGTGCATGTGCATGTGCATATGGCTGTGCATGTGTATGTGTATGTGCAAATGTGTGCGCATATGCATATGCATGTATACATGTATGTGCACGCGTGCTTGTGCATGTGTATATATATATATATATATATATATATATATATATAGCCCGCTCCAGACATCCCGTGTGCCACAAATGACCAACTGACCTGAGAGGAGGACGGACGATAGACGGTCGGCACACTCTCTTCTCAACAACTGTATGTGTAAAGAACGAGCCAGGCGACAGCTTTCGAAGCCCCGACCGAAAAAGGTAACTGGACACGAGAGGCACAAGCAATTACATAGGATGTGCAACAGCGACGGCATATACAGATGAAGTCCTGATGATTCAAGTGCAGGTGGTACGCGGGTGGACGCATTTGAATCTGAATGCCCATAACATTGGAAACGTGCGGCACGCTCACTCTGGGGTTCTGTCTGTTGTTGCTAAAACACTACAGCCCGCTCCATACATCACGCATGCCAGAACTGACCAGGCTGACAGGAGAGGGGGACGATAGACGGTCGGCGCACTCTTGTCATCAGCAGTATGTGTAAAGACCAAGCCAGGCGACAGCGTTCGAGGTCTCGAGTGAGAAGCAAATGGACACGAGAGGCAAAGGAAATTCCACAGGATGTTCATCACCGACCGATGGCATATACAGACGAGGTCCCATACCCCAAAAGAAATTGTGGCCAAGACCACAAGGCCGAACAACAATTCACCGGCAGTCCGAAGTACACAGGTCAGCGGCTGACAATGCTGGCCATGATGTGCTGGGTCTTTCTCAGCACTGCATCTCTGACGAAATTCGCGAGACAATTGCAGAGCCGACTCGGACAGACGGCAGACAAGGCAGTATACTTGCAACCGAAAAGGCTTTGACCACACAGGATAATGTGTCGCTGGTTCGTGCGAGAGCATATGCCCTTGCGCCCTGTGCGCCGCCGAGCGATTCCCCGGGGGGGCCCGGCGCGCCAAGCAGCGAACCCGGTGTGCTTTTGCCATGGAGTGCCGTACTGACGCTGGTCGAGATCGAACACGCTAGCGGTGCCTGGCTTAATCAAACCCGAAAGAGCCGCAGCATGCCACATTACAAAGCTGGACGGATTCCCCAGGATTACAGGCATGTCGAGTTCAATGCGTGTGCGGATGACGCGGCACGCGAATTAAAAGGCGGCGCTGCCCGCGCGAAATCTGGCGGCCTCAGAAGAAGACAATTCGGCCGAGCCCATCGGGCGGGTCCAGGAGAGCAATAGTTTGCGGAGCGCCCTCGACCGTGTCGCACACGGCGCGCCCAACAACACGGCAGAGACTGCGCTGCTGAGAAGCCATCCCGCGACCACATCCTCCACCATGTAGGAGGCGCGGCCCTCGAGAGAGGACTGGGAGACGCCTGGCCCGAACGCTGACGGCCCGAGCCGCCCCGCAGCCACAGTGAAATCAAACCACAGGGAAGCCCCAATGCGACGCGTCGGCGGGCAAGGGCCCCCTGCCTGACCGCTGACCTGAACGGCGCCTGAGATGATCGCGAACCTGCTGGTCGCGAGTTTGCCTCGGCTGCTGGCCGCAGGTCGCTTCCTTGTCCTCCTGGGCGCAGCTGGCGCACCTCTCGTAATGGCATCCGCGACCCTCGCTGGCACCTGCTGCGCCCGCCCCGCGGCGGCGAAGCCCGTCTCGAGGGTCTGGCAGACGTTCCGCCCGGCGAGGTCGCCGAGCGCGCAGACGTCGGGGCGCGCCCTCTCGAGCTCCGCAAGAGGGCCGCCTCCTCGGCGCACCGCCTCGCGGGGGGCGGCGCGGCGCAGCGGCCGCGGCGAAAAACCTGCCCCCGCGTCCTCCTCTGGGCCAGGAGGTCGCCCCTCACTCGGCCATGCCTCCTCCCATAGACGCGCGCGCGAAGCTGGGGCATCTCGAGGGCCGCGGTCGCCATGCCAAAAAAATGACGCTGAGGCTCACATTCGAGAAGTCCTACAGAGGCATGCCTGGGCCCCCCCGCGACCAGAGCGCCATGGGCACCGGCGCCAGGCGCAGGTCGAGGCGAGGAGGATCGACAAGTCGAAGGAGCCTGTCATGCCGGGCCGTGCGCGGTCTGCTGGATGCGGAAGCAGCCCCAGAAATGGCAAGCTGCGCCTGCCACTGCCGACGACTGAGCGACGCTGCCCGTCGAGAGCCTCCGGGGCACCGCGAGCCCGTGATGGGCAGAGAATGCGACGGCCAGCCGCGCGACCATCGGAGCCTGCTGCCACGCCGCCAGCACCCCAGCGAGGGCGAACATCACCGCCTTCGGGATCGGGAGGCGAGTGAGCGCAGGGGTCTGGCTGTCGCCAAGGCTGCATGGTTCGGGAGGCCCCCGGCAGCTGCGAGCTCACCCGACGCGGAAGACCCGGAGTGAAGTGAGCCAGCGCTGCCACTTCTGCGAACCAGCGTTGGCCGCCGCTCCCGCCAGACACTCGTGGGCGAAGTACTCGGACAACGGCAAGTCCAGCTGGTCCGAGCTGGTCCAGTCCCGGCGGTGCTCGGCGCAGTAGATCGCGAACGACTGCAGGATCGCGCGGTAGAGACTCTCGGTGGGCGGCCAGACGGCCAGCTGCTCCGGCAGCGTCAAACAGCTCGAGGCCGTCCTGCTCGCCGCAGCCGCCGTCGCCAGCCAAGCCGCCGTCGCCGCCTGGGCCCGCGCCTGCGCCCGCGCCGATTGGGGCGGCGATGCGCCGCGGCATCGCCGCGGCCACGTGGAAGAGCCCGTCGAGCGCCGCGACCAGGAGCGCGGGGGAGCGCGCCGAACCTGGGCATCGCTGAACCAGCTGCGCTTGCCAGGGCTCAAAGGATCTGCCGAGTTTCTCTCCGAAGCGACGCGCCGAACGCGCAGCTTCGAGCTGGCGGCTAGCGACAGAGCGCGCGCCCGATTCAAGCGCGAGCGAAGGTGGCCAGACCGAGCTCTCCCGTTACCGCGCGCGAGGTCCAGGGGGCGGTCGTCGACGACGACGACGAGACGACGGCCGCGGGCAAGCCCGTTTTGGAGCTGATGTCGACGGGGCGCGACGAGAGCGCCCCCAAGCGCGGGGTGCTGGCCCCCAGAGATCGATTGAGCGGAGGCCCCACTCCGCGATGGCTACCTGGCTATATATATATATACATATATATACATACATACATACATACATACATTCCATTACATTCCATTACATTACATTACATTACACTACATTACACTACATTACATTACATTACATTACATTACATTACATTGCATTACATTACATTACATTACATTACATTACAATACATTACATTACATTACAATACATTACATTACCTTACCTTACCTTACATTATTACATTACATTACATGACATTACATTACATTACATTACATTACAATGCATTACATTACATTACATTACATTACATTACATTACATTACATTACATTACGTTCCATTACATTTCATTACGTTCCATTACATTACATTACATTACATTACATTACAATACAATACGATATATACATATATGCGGGCACCTCATCGAGCTCCCACTTCTCTCGAGGTAGCCCCGTGGGGATCCCGATTGAGGCCCTCGACGATCTGCAGGTCCTGGTTGGTCTCCGCGGAGGCCTCGACGTCGGCCCCAGAGCCTAGACGCGCAGGTGTCGTCGGAAGTGCGCCCGCCGGACCGAGACCAGAACGGGGAAGCGACAAAGGCGATTGCGGCTGATGCACATCTCTCCCAGCCTCGAGGTCGACTCAAGGTTGGTCAATGCTGATGCCTGCCACCTGGAGCGAACGAGCGCGGGCCTGGTGCCCGCCCTCTACATTGCAGCGTCACCGCTCCGAGCTGCGACCGATCGCAGCGCGCGAGGAGACGGGGCACGGCGTCCCATCACGCAGGGGCCGAAGAGCGAGGCGTCGCTGACCATGAGGGCGCTGTGCCACACTGCCGACAGGTCGCAGGCCAAGATGGGCAGCAGGTCCCAGGTGGTGACGAGCTCATCGCTGACCGACCTCCAGCACGCGGCGACAAAGCCGCACGAGCCATGCTGCGCGCACCCCGCGTCGCAGCAGCGACGGTCGCGCGACGTGGCCCAGCGCCGCCCGGAGCATGTGCCCGGAGCACCACTGGCGCTTCAAGGAAATCAGAGTCCAGGGCGGCAGGCTCGATCTCGTGGACGGGGGGGCCCTGGGCGCAGAACTTCGCATCCAAGGGCGCCATGAACGGGTCCACAGCGGCCCCGTCTGCGCCGCAAGCCAGGATGTGGTCTACGCATAAGCGATGACGCCGATGGACTCGGGGTCGGCGACGACCACGCCCGCCAGCCCATCCACGGCCGTCATGGCCCTCTCGCGCCCGTAGACGGGCGCAGCGCGAGCGGCCGACAGACGCACGTGCGCCCATGACAAACGCATCGGTGGGACCACGACCCGAGGGCAGATCATGTCGGCTGGGTCGAAATCGAGGTCGGCCGCCTCCTGGAACAAGCCAGCGCGCGCTGAGGGCAATCTGAATTGTGCTTCCATACCGTCGGGCAACCGCATGCGATGACAGGCTCGCTCCAAGTCTCAGGGCGAGAGATGCACCCCGCGCTCTGCCGACAGCCTGGCAGCTCTCGGGGGCCCGCGGCGGCGGCCGCCCTCTCGGCCGCGAG